ACACGACAATCACTAATAGAGACACAGTAAAACAGCACAACCCAACCCAGAGTCAGATGAATGGGCAGCCACTCAGGGGAGTCCGTTAAAGTTACTACAGTAGAGTGTGGTAGAAATTTCTGGAAAAGCTTCTTTGTGGAGGTGAGCTTCAAGCAGGCTTTGGAAGAAGAGGAAAGGTTGCATAGCAGAGCCCCAGGGGTGGGTTTGGGGAGAGAAAGGGGAATCCTAGACAGGAATCGCCAGCCATTCTGAAGGTGAGGGCATTCAGGGACAGTTTGGAAGAGGAGATGAAGATGATAAAATCCTGTGAAGCAGGCATTCTTGAGGAGCCAAAATTTAAGATCAGGATAAGGACTGGCTAAATTACTTTCTCGGCTGAAAAGATGGAGGAAGAGTTTGGAAGATAGGCAAAATATCTTCTAGCCCTGAGGAAAGTCAGACAAACCTGATAAAATTGGACTCCCATTAGGACTTTCCCTTCGCTTGCTTCTGTATGGACTTTAGTGTAGGGTCATAATCTCTAATACTAAAATCCCAATTCCTCTCTTCTTTCTTCACTTCCTTTACTAAACCCTGCTTAGGGATTAGACAGCAGCCAGAGCCGGTCCTCACAAGGGGGATTGTGTGGCAGGTCAGGAGTGGTGGCAGTGGGTTCTCCCCCGGCCTTTGTTTCTGTATGAGGATTATCCAGACATCGGCAGACAGATTAGCTTTGTGTTCCCAGGGGCACATCTGCCTGCACTGACTTCTTGGGAAGACTCCCCTGGGGCCAACACACCAGTTCCCATCCCTGAACCCAGACCCTCCCCCAAAGGGTGTTTTTCACTTGTACTGACACAGGGAATGTGATTCTTGTCCTGTTGAGTAAACAGTTTTGCACGGTTGAGGGAGGGGCCAGATTAAAAAACAAAAGCCTGGGATTAGGTTGTTTCTCTGGCACCTGCCTCCCCCAGGTGAGCTCACTGCACATAATGACACCCTTCTGGGCCAGGCTGGCTCAGCTTCTTAGGAATTCTGGGTAGCGCTTAACATCCTCTCTGCTTTGTTGAAGGTGGGAATTCACCTCTTTTCATGCCGGTTAGAATCAGATGGAATGCCTTTAAGATCCCCAGATAAAACATGTGTAGATCTGTCAGTCGTTAACCTGCATTCGATTGATGCACGATTTTCATTTCTAATTAGACCTGTTTGCTCAAGAAGTGCAGATAAAACCAATGCGTGTTCCTAATGCGGTTGGCGCTGGTGGCGACGTAGACTCCATTTCCTACTTTATAGTTAGTTTTAAAATTCAAACTATAAATGTGAATTACTTTTCTGTCTGTCTCCGCTGGTGGAGCTTATCGTTATGCTAATTCAGGTGTATGTCTTCCCGGACCTTATAAGTACGTAAATCTTGTGTTCTTTTGAACAAATTGGGTGGTTAATCCTTTAATCAGTTATTGAGAGATTGCTACAAGCACAGAGCAAAGGCCGGACCTCTAAGCTTAGCAGTTTGAAGGTCGTCATTGTTATGCATTTGGTGTTTCTCCTTTGTTTTTTCTTCTGTGAAGTTGGAAAGTTAGCCTAATCCCGCAGCCAGCACTTTCCTTCAAAGTGAAAAGATGGAACCACAGGAGGAGGAAGAAGTGCTAAAGATCCAAACAATAGGCGATGCTGTGATGGGAGCAGTCTCCCGCCCTCCCTCTTTCTTTCTCTCTCAGATATTTTCTATCTCCAGCAGCAGGCTGACTGTATTTGTCGTTTAGCTTTTTTTTATTCTTTTCTTTTGAGGAAGATTAGCCCTGAGCTAACATCTGCTGCCAATCCTCCTCTTTTTGCTGAGGAAGACTGGCCCTGAGCTAACATCCCTGCCCATCTTCCTCTACTTATATGTGGGATGGCTGCCACAGCATGGCTTGCCATGCGGTACCATGTCCGCACCTGGGATCCGAACCAGTGAACCTTGGGCCACCCAGAAGCGGAACGTGTGCACTTTGCTGTGCCACCAGGCCGGCCCTGTAATTTAGCTTTTCTGTTTTCTTACAAAATATGTATATGTATTCTGTGGATAACCTTTTGTTACATAAGCAGCTGTTTTTCCTTGATCTGTCCCTGAAAATATTAGTCGAGACTCCATCAATTGCTCAGAAATAGTAGTCAGGTTTGTCGAAGAAAATAATCCATAACCAATCTATAAATGAAAATTTGGGTGAGTTTATTCTGAGCTGAAATCTGAGGACCATGGCCAGGGGCCTTTCCTCCCGAAGGAAGAAAGGGCACCAAGGAAGTGAGGTGTACAGAGTGGTCATATACCCCCATACAGGACGTTTCACGTATGATTGAAATGTCCCTCCCACAATAGTCACAAGGTTGCCCTGTCTGCACAGCGCTTGATGGACACAGCAGGTAGTGGGTCTGCTGTCTCAGACGGCGTAGCCGGAGGCAAGTCTATCGTCTCAAGCTGGGTGGTCACAGGTGAGCGCAGCAATCACTTCCTAGCCTAAGGAAAGATGCTTAATCCTTAAGGGAATGCCAACATTGGGAGGGGGAGGGAAGTTGCACCCTTATCTCAAGGGCCTTTGTTCTTGCCATAGGGAATGTCTAAAGCAGATATACAATGCATGCTCAACAGCCACAGTCAGGCCCTTTGGAAAGACAAGGTCAGGCCGAATTAGGTTTACACAAAATGGCTTCCTCATATACTCCAATGTATCCTATTGCTTGCCATTTTTATTTGTCAGGTTAAATTCAAACCCATTATCATCCATTGGCAGCTGTTTGTGACTGTGATCAGGGGAGAGGGTAACGCACATGAGTGGTTAACACCCACAAGAGAAGCACGGTGAGATGGATCTGCCATGAGGTCCTCCTCTTGTGGAGGCCCTGGCTTGAACCCTGCCCTACCTGGTCGATACGGCCCTATGGCTAGTCTTGCCCCTGGACACTTGGGCTACCTCATTTCTACAGGATGAGCACTGAATTGATGTATGTTTCTAAGGACCGTGTCTACCTTTCTGCTCCTCCTCCTGACCACAGCGCGTCGTTTCATAGTCTCTCTTCTACGCAGGCCTCATTCAGTAGAGCCCAGGGAAGACATTTTTGGGGTTTTTGTGCAGTGAGAGTCTCACATGAAAATGCCATCGGGGGGTGCAATTGCTAGTGTCCACCTGGACAAATGGAAACAAGGTGCGGAAATTGGAGGGAGTGATAGAAATTGAGATCCTGACCCAAAGCAGAAAAAATTCCCTGTAAACCTTCTCCCATGGAGTCGGGTCAGGATCCATGGCCAGAATCTGAAGGCCGATGGAAGTTACAGACAAATGATGTTGCAAATCTTTGTGGTCCTGCGGGGTTTTTTTTGCGGAAGATCAGCCCTGAGCTAACATATGCTGCCAATCCTCCTCTTTTCGCTGAGGAAGACTGGCCCTGAGCTAACATCCGAGCCCATCTTCCTCTACTTTATACGTGGGATGCCTGCCACAGCATGGCTTGCCAAGCAGTGCCATGTCCGCACCCGGGATCCAAACCAGCGAACCCCAGGGTGCCGAAGTGGAACGTGCACACTTAACTGCTGTGCCCCACGAGTGTTTTTAATTTTTGTTCTTTTTTTTTTTTTTTGAGGAAGATTAGCCCTGAGCTAACATCTGCTACCAATCCTCCTCTTTTTGCTGAGGAAGACTGGCCCTGAGCTAATATTCGTGCCCATCTTCCTCTACTTTATATGTGGGATGCCTGCAACAGCATGGCTTGATGAGTAGTACATAGGTCTTCATCCGGGATCCAAACTGGCGAACACCAGGCTGCTGAAGCAGAACGTGCGAACTTATCCGCTATGCCACAGGGCCAGCCCAATTTTTCTTCTTTTTTAGAAGTTGTTACCTGAAATCTGTCTAAAATCTAAGTTGCCATGCTTGGTGTTCTTCCAGTGGCCCTTGTCACTCACACTAGCGTGACAACAGCCCTTTCTTTCCAAGGTTTATGTTTATAGTGTTGGGCTTCACAAACGTGTAACCAAGGATGGAATTGCTTAGAAAAGGAAGAAAGATTGCTAAGAAAAAAATAGAAGTTCCCCATATTGAAAAATTAAATCAACTCCTTTAGCAATACAGACCCCCTAATGATGATAATTGTACTTACCAATTAGTGAGCATTCACTGCATTTACTAGTGGGAACAGGGCACCCCGTCTGCCCTTTTACAGAGGAGAACACTGAGGCGCACACCAGTTAAGCAAGCTAGCAATAGTGGAGTGAGGATTCAAGTCTAGGTCTGTCGGCCACAGCAATTGATTCAGAGATGGTCACATGACCCAAGCCAGGCCAATGGAAGTTTTTAGGATTAACTGGTGGGAGAAACTTTCTTCAGAGATTCCTGAAAAGTTAATGTAAGCCTAAACATTCTGTGATAAACTCCTAAAGGGAACTTGTCTAAGAATGAAGCCAGAGCAGAGGAAATCATAGGAAATGGAGAAAATTGTCTCTCTCAGGATGTGATTTCAACACCTGGATATAGCTATGCCTGAAGCCAACTATCTCTGGATTGTTTACTTACAAGAAACAATATATTTCTTTTTTTGGTTTAAGTCTTTTTGTTGGGAAAGGTGATCTCATGAGCTCATGCAGCAGTCTTGAGACCCCCGCTTGGCTGATAAGAATGGACCTTGAGCCTAGAACATTTCCTTGCCAAGAGATAGAGTCCTCACAGCCTGTGCTGGCCTTATCAGCTTGTGTGGGGATATCTTTCCCTGTTTCAGATTTAGCCAGTGCTCCTTTGTTCTGCTTAAGCATATGCGTCATATGGCACCTGGCCAACCCTACTGCTGTCTCTGTCCTTTTCAGGGAGGGGACCAAGTCCTTCTACTCCAGCATCAGAGGGGTGCATGCAGGTCAATTGCCCTGTGTCTGCTGCCAGGAGGGACCTTCTAGCCCTGGGGGACCGGTGCCCACTGTTGCAGCTGATCTTGCTCTTTCCCTTCCCTGTGTGAGTAAAGCATTGTTCCAGCCCGCGCTTGACTGAATTGTGTTGTCCTGGCAACTCTTATACCAAGACTCAGTGAACAGAAGTGTTTGGATTTCTTCTCCTGGTGATAGGCAACAGATGTCACTTGCTTGACACTCTTTGAAATAATTTTCTGCCTTGAAACTGAAAACTGAAAGGATCTCTTGCCTATGCTACCTCCATTGCCAAATTTTCTCAGTTCCCCAGGTAAGCGCGGTAATTTCTCCTGCTCTCCTCTCACATCTGAATCTCCCACCATTACTGTATCATCGCAATGGACGGTGGTCACTTTTTTAACATTTCTGTTCTTCTCTAGGCTGCGAAATCCTGCAGAACAGGAATAATACCTGTGTGTGTGTGTGTGTTTCATTGTTGCTTCTAGACCCAAATTGACTCCAAAAATGCAGAGCAATCTTTAATATTTAAACAGGAATTCTTTAGCTACCCTTATGCATCAAGGTCCAAGTTCCTGACCTCTCCTCAGTATAATATAATAACCCCTTCCATGCTTCTCAAACGTTAACATGCAAACAAATTGTCTGAGGGTCTTGTCAAAATGTAGGCTCTGTTTCAAAAGGTCCAGGGTGGGGCCAGAGATCCTCATTCCTGATAAACCCTTCAGTACTTTGAGAAGCAAAGCATTGGGTATGTGTCATTAGTTCCCTCCAGGAAGATGTCAGGTCAGAGCACGTGGGAACATCCTGATAAATCTCTGACTTGTTAGGTGGTGAAGGTATATTTTTTTCAAGAGCTAAACTCAAATTCCAACTTTTTTCCAACAGAGATTAACTTACTGAAATACAACTGGAGGCACACAGAGCCATTATTTTCTTAGTCAACCAACAAGTACTTTTTGAGCATGCTTTGAGCCTAGCTCATGGCTGAATATAATGACACATAAAAGAAATATGGGACTAGTTCCATGGAACCAATTTTAGACTTGGAGAGGAATGAGAGTTGCTGATTAGGGGTGCTACCCAAGTTTGTCAGACCCCCAAATAGCTTTTCTTTCCTGACCACCATGACAGTCTTGGCCTCACATTGCAGCAAGGTTCTGCAGCTCATTGCCCATCACGGCTTGACATGAATTAGTTTTCTCTGCTTTTCTTTCTCTCACCCAAAAAAGATCCACCAAATAAGGGAGTGGGATTGTGCTCTGGTGGCCAAGCCAATCCAAGAACAAGGGGATAATTCTAAGGGAAGACAGTGGGGATCCTTGAAGGGTAGAGTTCTTATGGCTAAATTTGCTTAAGAGGACGCTGTGTAAGGCCCCAACCCAACCATGTTGCTCAGTAGAAATGGCACCAAAGATCAGATGAAGTCTACTTATTTTGAAATTTTATGTCTGGACCATAAGAATTGCTGAACGTTAGTGACCTCAGGGAACTCAGCGATTGCTTGTTCCAATCCTATCACTTCATAAAGAAGGAAACCATAACCCTGTGTGAAGCTCATCTTGCCCCAAACACATGTCTAGTGCAGTGTGGGGCCCATTCCTCCCAGTCGGGGTTCTTTTTATAGCACAAGAAGCAGTGCGGCCGTGGTGGCTAAGAGCCCATGCTCTCCTCTGCTGTCAGGCTGTCTGAGAGTGACTTTTACGTCCTCAGTCACTAGTGGGCTTTGAGTGAGTTATTTTATATCTCTCTGTGTCTCAGTTTCTTCCTTTATAAAATGAGGATGACGGTAGTAACTACCCCAACATGCTGTTTTGAAGGTTGAATGAGTTGATACAGGTAAGGCAGTTAGAACATTGCCTGCTCATAGCAAAGGCCCAGTAAACATAGGTGGCCACTACTGCCTCATCACTATGTGCCTTCCGTGATGTGATTTCAAGGCTACCAATAAGGAACCTTTTGCTATTCTAGCTCTTAACCCTAGAACTTCCCCTACCTGCTTGCCACTGCCTCATACTCTGTTATGGAAGTTGACTGTGCCCTCCACCCCCCAGAAAGACTCACATTACACAGCCGACAGTGTAGCTTAAAATGCCAATATGCCTGAGAGAGAGGAATCATGGTAATTTACTTCCACCCTACACTAGGAAGAGCCAGCGTCGGATCCTTTCCCAGGAACAGGTGTGCACAGAAGAAAGACATGGGGATAACTACACATCCAATCTTTGATCCCCTTAGCCCACAAAACTCTGAAAGGCCATTGAAAATTTCTCCCCATTGCGTAGGGGGATAGGCAATGCATGGTTGCCAGGCCCAGGGCAGCCCAGGGACGGACTGGCTTAGGCCAGAGTTTCATGACTTTGTTGCTATTGACACGTGGGGCGGGATAATTTTTGTTGTGAGGACTTGTCCTGTACATCGTGGGATGTTTAGCAGCATCCTTGCCCTCTACTCACCAGGTGCTCATAATGTTCCTCCCCACCAGGTTGTGACAACCTAAAATATCTCCAGATGTTGCCAACTGTTCCCTAGGAAGCAAATTCCTCCCATTTGCGAACGCTTGGCTTAGAGTTTCCTAAGACCTGGTGATTATTCTCTCCTGGTCACGGCCAGACTGGACTCAGGTAACAGTGGTCAAGGGCTTCTTGCCTTTTACTCTCCACATGGAGATTCTCTTCCACTCCCCCAAGCTTCCTCTGGTTAAAATCTACTTGGGCCTCAATTTACCTGCTATAGTCACTCACCAGTCATAGCACCACTGGGATAGAAGGATGTTTTCTCCAGGTAGAGGTAGCAAGCTGAGGACACAGCAGCCTGTCCTAGGTTGGGGGACAGAGTGACACTTGATGCTCACTACCCTCTAGTCAGCTAGGGGCACTAAGATTTTGACAACCAGATAGGAGTTGGTTGTCAACTCCTACTTCCCCAGACAGGGGAAGCACTCTTCCCTCACAGAGGTATGCCCTTCACCCCATCCCGTATTTCTGCAAATCCCCGGAGCCTCCATATTTTTTCTGGGGTCCTATGTCCAAGTGAACTTTCCCCAGGCTGCACAGACCAGGTCACAAAGTTAGCACCGTTTTTTATGTCCTGCCAAAGGGTTCACTTGTGTAACATTTGTGAACTATATAGGCTTTTCTGAAGCTTCCTCAAGGCAGAGAGAGGAACGGGTTATAGAACAAAGCTCACCAAAAAAATGACTTAAAAACATAAATTACATATATCTCTTCCCCAAACTCCCTTTAGCTATTCCACCACTTGCTGGGGGTTGGGGGTGGGTGGGTATGTTTTCTCTTAAGATCTTCCCCCAGATTCTGTTATTTTTGACTCTCTCCCAGATTTCTCTCTGAAACACATTGTTTTTCTCTATCTCGTTTTAAAGCAGCAATTCTCAAAGTGTGCTCTTACAGACACCTTAGTCACTAAGAACCTTTCATGGAGTCTTTGAGGTCAAACCTGTTGTCGTAATAATACGAAGTGACTACTTATCTTTTTCACTCTCCCACTCGCACAATTGTGCAGTGGAATATCCCAGAGTCACAAGATGCAAGATGCTATTCTATAATGAAATGTTTCAACATCTGTTTGAAACAGTATTTTGCAAATGTGAAGGTTTCCTTCAAAGTACAAGAGACTTCAAGAAGGAAGTTTATTTATATAGTTTTAGATTCTTCATTGCAGCTGGCCTTTAAGAAACGACCACTTGTAGCGTTTTGATGTTGCATTGAAGAAGACTGTCCACAATTGTCTGGAAAGACTAATAACCCACTCCTCTCTCTTCCAACTACAGTCTGTGCAAGGCTGGGTTCTCTTCATCTACTTTAATGAAAATGACCCGTCACAACTGATGAAACGTAGAGGCAGACATTGGGAATCGAGCTAATTCTGTTAAAGCAGACAATAAAGAGCTTTGCAAAAATGTAAAACAATGTAACTCTTCCCACCAAGTTATTTCATTTGGAAAAATAGTTATTTTTCATGAAAATATGTTATACAAACATATAATGGATTTCCTATCATTATTTTTAAATGAATTAGTTTATAAATATTTAAGAGTGTTTTCAGTTTTAATTTCTAGTATGGCAAATATTGACAGGCATAATCTACATAAACAAATACTCTTAGGGGTTCTCAATTTTTAAGAGTATAAGGGATCTTGAGACCAAAACTTTTTAGAACCGCTACTTTATTGCACTTCAGCTCTGGTTCCTATCCCAAAACTGCCACACAAATGTGTGAAGTTGCTCAAGCATTGACTGAATTCCAGGTACTTTGTTAAAGTGTTTTACATGGAGTTTAATTATTGTTGATCCTGGGAGGTAGGTATAATTATTATTCACATTCACAGTCAAAGAAACCGACGTTTAGATACTCGCCCAGCACCACACAGTTAGAAAGTGGTAAAGTAGAAATTTAAATTTAGGTATCTGACTCCAGAAATCTCACTCTTATCAGCTTTACAACCCAACCCAGCTGAAAAAAAAAACAAAATTAAAAACCCCAGAAAAATAAATTCCTTTTCACAAACATACTCTAATTCCTTAGGGAGCGGTGGGTGTTGGAGCTTCATTTTACAAACTTTATTGTTGTTTTGGTTAGAATCCTTTCTCTGCTCCGTCAGTCCACCTTGAGGAGCAGAAGCTCCCCTGACCCGGGGCTGCAGCTCCGGCCTTGTCATGAAGATCCCCCAGGTTGTGCTCCTTAGTCCTTAATTCACAGGCATCCATCAGCGGTGCTCCACAATTTCCTGGAGGCCTTCTTCTGTGCTGCTCTCTCCGTACAGTCTTCGAGTCTCTTCGAAATGTGTATTTCTCAGTTCTCCAGGGGATCCAAGGTTATCATCAGTCCACGGCTCAGCCTGAATAAGCACCTGGAGTCCATGACTGGATCGAGTGTGCATTTGGCAGTAAAGCCAGGCTGGGAGTGGGCTCATGATGCTGTACATCTCACAGCCCAGAAACTCAGGCAGGAGGTGCTCTCCTCTGGGCGTTTCAGAGCCCACGGTCACACTCACGTGGGCGCGTGAACAGGAGTCCCTGTGTCATGCGATAACCGATCCCCTTCTCACAACTGTTTTAAGTTGCGAACATAAAGTCTGAGATGCCTTCACTGGGGGCTCGGTTTGTGTGAAAGCAATCGGCGTTTCAAGACAAGGCACCTGGAAAATTTTCTCATAATAGGAATACTGTAAATATTTATTTAAGCTTCCTCCACCCTCCACTGTCATTTCAGAAGCAAGAAAATTCAAGAGGCCAGATTTTTATACATGATATTCGTAAAGTATACTACGGACACTGGAAGTGTAAACATGTCTGCTCTGCAATTTAGCTCTCAGTAGAAATTACTTCTTTGTGACTGAGATGGTATTTCAGATTAGAGATGGAGAGTTATGGCATTTACCTACTTTGCCCAAAGTCACACAGTTAGCAAATGATTTTGGAATCAGACAGAACTTGGTTTAAACCTCAACCCTGATTAGTAGTTTTTTGTGCAATTGCCGCATGTTGCCCAACGTCTCTAAGGCTCTATTTCTCCGTCTGTAATATGAGGATGGTTCTTATGATGATTCATTGAAATAAGGAACATCCAGTTCTCAGCAGAGTGTCTGGGACATAACAGGGGCTCAGTAAATTCAGCTGTAATGATAATTATATGGTTACCTAGATTATCGTTTTACAGCTCTTATCTGTTCTTGTGACCATTCCTTTACTTAATGGCACCAATGGACAGTGAGCTGCATTGAGTCAACACCTAGCACAATACTTGATATTTGGGGTATTGAATAAGTGCATGAGTGAATGAATGAATGAACAATGAGATCATGCCACAGGAGATTTTCATTGACCAGTATATTTCTAAGTTGAAATGCTGGGAAAACTCAGTGAAAATACTTGAGGCTCAGCAGTGACTACTGAGTGCAAACAGTGATGAAGATGGTTGAAGAAGGTCCTTGGGTAGGAAGGAAGCCGGAGGGCGGAGTCTGTGACCCATGCGGTCACCTGGACACAAGAGAGAGACTGATGGCAAACCCTTGCTGGAGGTCTATTAAAAAAGGCCTATATGAAGGAAATTTTTATTTTTTTATCTTTTTGGTGAGGAAGATTAGCCATGAGCAAACATCCGTTACCAGTCTTCCTCTTTTTGCTGAGAAAGATCGGCCCTGAGGTAACATCTGTGCCCATCATCCTCTATTTTGTACCTGGGACCTTGCCGTAGCATGGCTTGATAAGTGGTCCCGGCAAATCCCTGGCCACTGAAGCAGAGTGCAGGAACTTAACCACTACACCAGCTGGCCCCTACGTGGAGGTAACTTTTAAACAAGATAATTTGGAGGCAATTGCAAAATTTCTTTCACCCTCCAAAATCTTCCTCAAGTTGTCTGAGTTTCTGTTATTAGAGAATGACTCCTTTGGATTAAGTAGTCTTTGGGGTGGTATAACTGCAGTTATTAACAAAAAAAGAGAGAGAAAGTCCTAAACATGTGTATTTAATAGTAGGGCAAATATGTGCACGGGGGGTGGCCCACTTCCATGAAGTCATCCGGGAACCTAGTTGATGGAGATTTGTCAAATCACCATGGGATTATCTCCCTTCCAGTGGGCTGACTGGGGAAAGGAGCATGAAGAAGAGCTGGGTGGGAGGTGTTCAGGGACCCAAGCACTTAACACTTCTGTCTCTATTTCATTGGACTCAGTCGCCTGGCCACACTTGACTGCAAGGGAGTCTGGGAAATGGAGTACCTGGCTGAGCGACTGCCTTCCAGTAATAAGCATGCAATATAGGACAAGGAACATAAGCATCTGGCGAGCTGTGAACTGTCTTTGCCATACCTTTTAAGGAGGCACTATCTCCGGGAAGAGTGGCTTAGTGGAAATTAGTTTGTCCCCACCAGAGGAAGGTGACGCTCAACAGGAAGGCTTTATCCCAAAAAAAGGTTGAGGACAAAGGTTCGGAGCTACCAAAGTTGGGCAGTGCAGGCTATGGGAAAGATAACTGGGACAGACCTGGGGTCCTAGGGTCCTAGACTCTTGGGCGCAAGAAGTAGGGCTTTAGAAGAGGACAGTAGAAATGTAAGACAGAGACAAAAAGCCTCTGAAGTCACAGTTTTGCTGAGGATACGGAATGGCTGCCCTACAGAGAGGCAAAATGGCGCTTGTGGGCGGTCTTAGCAGCAAAGCGCTTACAAGTCACTGGGGGCTCCACTCAGGTGCCACCAGCTGGGGAAGGAGAATAAGGACATGATTCCCCTCTCACTGCTTTTCGTTCTCCAAGGAGAGTCAGGCTCATTATGTCTCTAGGTGAATTTTATCGTTCTGGATTTGGGCCTAAAAGTTGCATGTGGTTTTCAAATACTCATTTTATCACACTCCACGATTACTTCCATTATGTGTGGCTAACATTTGAGTCTTTTCAAATTTAGTAGGGATATAAAAGGTTTAAATAAGCCCAGTATCAGATGTGTCTGGGATTCCATTTCTTGCATGCACACTGTAAATAAACGCTGATGAAAAATATTTTAGTTCCAAATTCTGCCACCCTAAATGGTCCAAATATGCACTTTAAAGCCCCATAATCCCATAAAAGCCTTTTTGCTTGTAAATAACGCTATCTTGTTTTCCATCTCAAATTTCTTCTCCTGTAATTACACAATATTTGGTTTCCCCTTTTTAGGCAATTCAAATTAAAACTTATTTCATTTCATAATTACAAACATTCATTTTGAGTAAAGACTAATCTGACGGGAATTCGGTTCCAGTGATATCATAACCCAGACTTGTAATAGCAAAGCAATCCATCTCCTGACTAATGTCTTGGAATCTTTTAAGACTCTACTCCAGCTAAACATTTGCATTTGGAAAGTTTTATCCTTTGCCCTGAAATAATAATGCTTTATTAAGAGCACTGTGTGATTTGATTTCTTTAAAAAAATAATGATTTAAATCAAAGACTTTGAGATATAAAGAATTTAAAGAGTGAGCCATTTCATCTTCTTAGTTTTGGGTTGTTTTATAACTCCCATGAGTTCTGGAGTAGAGCGTTGCTTGGAAAATGTTCATTATTAAGTTCATTTTCAACCATTTCCTGAAAAAGGAGAAAGAAAATATTCTTTGTCTGGGTATCATGATAGGTGGTAATTTTGAAATATTAGATAAAGTGTATGTTATTACTACTCTGAGTATGGATAGAGGAGAAAAAGAACATGCTGATAGGCCATTTAGGATGGATAGTAACATCTAGGATAACACAGTGTTTATTAACTAAAAAAACACATTGAGAAAATGCCAAATGGAGTTCTCACAGAGTGATCATTATTTATCTACTGTAGTGTAAAAACCATTCTGAAACATAGTGGTTTAACACGATTTACCATGATCTCTCACAGTTCTGGGGGTTGACGGGCCTGGTGGGGCAATTTTTGCTTATTGAGGGCTCCCATGGTTCCAGTCAGGTGGTGGTTGAGGCTGGACGCACTGGAAGGTTTCATTGCTCACACTTCCAGCTCTAAGGCTGGACACCTGGGGGCGGGTTAGGCATCTCTCTCTCCAGCAGCCTCAACACCTGGCTCGCTTGGGCTTCTTCATAGCATGATGGTCTCAGGGTAGTCAGACTTCTCCTATGAGAGCTGATTTCCCCCCAGAGTGAGTGCTCCAAGAGACCAAGGCAGAGGTTGTAAGACTTTATCTGATTTGGCTTTCAAAGTCCTGCAAGGTCAGTAGGTCTGTTCTGCCATATTCTGTTGGTGGTGAGTGAGTTACAGGAACAGTTTGGGTTCAATGGGAGGGGATTACCCAAGATCATGAATAGAGAAAGGTGTGGTTCGTTGTGGGGCCATCTTTGTAGGCTGCCTACCACAATCACCAGGCTTACTCAGATCCTTTTAATGAGTTTACCCATTAAATTACCACAGATCAGATGGGTGTTTGTCTTCTGAAGGATTTGATTTGCTAAGAGCTAGGAGGAAGGGGAGCAGATGAAGGGTCTTTGTTAGGACTACCTCACTCTGAATGACGTGTGTGTGTGTGTGTGTGTGTGTGTAGTGGGGGCAGTATTTTGGATTACCCTGGTTAGTCCTGCCAGTTTGCTTTAGTCTGGGGTCAGGGGGAGAGAAATATTAAGTTCCCACTCTCTGCCAGGTTCTGTGCTCCACAAGTTAAACGCTTACTATCGCTGGTGAGAGGCTATTCGTGTAGCGGTCATGTTCAAATCCTGGGTGGCTTTGCCACAGGACTTTGGACGAGGCTAAGTTATTTATCTTTGCTGAGCCTCCATTTTCTCATGTGCAACATCTTTAAGGGACTTTGGTTCATGGAGAGAAACAGTTCTCTTTGCGTGTTTTTGGAGAACAATTTATTAGTCTTATGCATTTATTAATCAATGAGTATTTTAAAAAGTATAAAAGCTTTAACATTTCTCTCTTTATATACTTACTATTTCTACAACAAATAAATAAAAAGACATGAATTTAACAAATGACGTTTTGGAAAACACGTAAACAGTGATTACTGGTTAAATCTAAGATTTCTGAATGTTTAATTAAAATTGTAAGTCTAATTTATCATGTTCTTGTAAATGTTTTAAACGCTTCAGAAGGCAGACAAGACTCACACAATATTAACGTGTTTACAGTACTAATCAAGACCCTTACACCAAAACGTGGTACAAAAATGGTAATATACCTATTTGTTTCTTCATTATTTCTATTTTTATTCTGTTTATTTTTTCCCTGGCAGAATAATCTGGTGCATTTACTCATCTGGGGATTCAGAGTGACTTTACCCAACCTATTAAGGTTGAGGCTACAGGTTGACATCCCTTTGTCCCTTGTCCTCTACCCTAATCAGAGCTCCTAATTCACTACCCTTGCTTTATTTTCTGCATTGCACTTTTCATCAACTGATCTGCAAATTTTACTTATTTATTTGTTTAATGTCTCTATATCCATGCAAGAATGTAAGCTCTAGGTGAGCAGATATTTTTTGTCTCTTTTGCTCCCTGCTGAATTCTCAGTGTCCAGAAAAATACCTGGCACATAGGAGGTGCTCACAAAGATTTGCTGCATGAACAGATGATGAATTCTGGACCAGGATATTAATTAGCCCATGAGACTCTGTGTCTCTTTTGTAGAGATTCTGAATTGGCTACCCCATTGGGCAGGCTCTGATTAAGTTAAGTGTTCATTTTATGGTGAACTGTTCAAATTATTGGCTTTGACCAACGTGATAGTTTTTATTCTTCTAATCCTGAATCACACTGGTTTGTATCCTGTCCTTATAGAACCTGGTGAGTACATCTTAGAGTTGCTTGCTCTGAACGGGGTCCTAGTCTATGTCCATCACATTGAAAGCTTTGGGTCAGTTTGGTGCCCTGAAATGGCAAGTTTCTTCCTCATTGACCATTAAGACCTACAATATTAAAATCTGCATGAAAAGCTTGAACGAATTAAATGGGATAATTCACATAAGGTGAATAAAACAGTGTCTGGCACATATTAACCTCTCAAGATTAGTATTCTTATCAAGAAAGCTATTTTCAGTTATTACCTTGCCAAAAAGAGAGCCATTTGTTTTCTCAGTAGGTGTTTAAGAGTAATTCCTTTGTCTCAATCTGAATGACAGGATATATATGTTGTATGTTTGCACCTATAGAACCAAGGGCCGTATCTCTCACAATGAGGTGCTACGCAGATATAGGAAAATGATTAATGAATGAAACCTAGAGTAGTAGAGTTGTCTGCTCTCAACTTTCCCTTCCTCTCCATACAGCTCCGTGACCTACAGATGGTGGGAGCACAAATGCAGAGGGGACTAATATTTGTTGAGTACATAGTGTGCGCCATGAATTTTGCTGGATGATATACAACTATTACTTATTTATTCCGGTGAACAGCCAACTGAGTTATGAGTTGGTTTTCTTTTTTAAGAGATCAGTTTTTTACATGGGATTTATGGATATGGAAACTGAGCCTTAGAAAGGTGAAGTTGCATAGCTAGCAAGCATCAGAACAAGAATTAGAACTCACTTATGACTAACTCCAAACTGACTGGTTTTTTTCCCATTATCCTTTGTTTTAAGGGGAGCACAGTATTCCGGAAAAACAGGATAATGATGTTTTTGAATGTTC